AAGTCCTTTCTGATGAACAAACTCTACCTGCCTCCAGCTATTCTAAGGGAAAGGAAAAGGGGTGTGACCTAAGGTTATTATCTTTAGCACACAGATAATTTATTTAGCAACTATTTCAAGAGTAAAACCTTCACTTATTATAGCGGGGACAGATAAACATTCAAGAAGTACAGTAGCTTTCTAAATGTTATATAAATAACATGATATCCTTCAGTTTCTTGTGTCTAAAATTATACAGTACATGGTTTTAGTTTATGGACACTCAAATTTACCCTGGAATTTTATGTGGATGAGTATTCCTACAATTTTCTACAGGCTGAGGGGACAGGCGGGTCCAGCTGGTCTCTCCGTTTATTTGCCGGCCAGCCCTGACTCTAGACTCACTTTTCCCTTAGCTATCCTCCACATTGCCACAGAGATGATGCAAAATTGATTATATCTGTCCCTACTCGAAAACTTCAAGTGTCACCTGAGTTACAGAACCAAGTCCTTGCTTCTCAATTAATATGGCACATAGACCCCTCATGGTTTGGTCTCTGTCCTTCACCTCCCACACCACTTCTTGCTGGTACAGGCCAGAAGCATTATTCTGTGATCAGAAGATGTACTTTTGAGTATTTATTTCCTTTCCCTGGAATGCCTTTCTCCATCCTTAACAACCCAGCTGAGGTCTTGCCTCATCAGGATTTGATCTTTCAAAATGATTTGTCCTTCTCTGGGCCATCTTTATAACTTGTACATACTTCTATTTGTGGACTGCAGTATCATAACATAGCTATATGTCTGTGATCTCAGCGTGAGCTTTTGAGGACAGAGTTTCTGTCTGAATCCTCAGGGTTCTATTGCACCATCCACTCAATGAATGAACGCTGACACGGATTGAATTGAAAGTGCCTTAAAAATCCCCAGGTGCTTCTGTCCCCTGGGATGTTATGTAGGAATTGGTAATTTAAAAATTAAGGTTTTAGCATAAAATGGTCTCTCCATAGAAAGTATTATAATTTCAAAGAGTACTAGGTTTTACAATTATTTGGCTTTCTTAATCCAGTGTTTGCCATGTAAGAAATGGGGAAATAAGGATGATATGTTTCCCTCTATGAAAATGGTGGGATTTTGAATGTACACATATGTAGGTTAAACAAATCCTCTTATAGTTCTTTCCTGAACTATGGGGAAGATAACTAATCTCCCGAATCATATTATTGTGGGTTTTTTTGTTTGTTTGTTTTTTGTTTTTGAGACAGAGTCTCGTTCTGTCACCAGGCTGGAATGCAGTGGCGTGATCTCGGCTCACTGCAACCTCTCTCTCCCAGGTTCAAGTGATTCCCCTGCCTCAGCCTCCCTAGTAGCTGGGACTACAGGCATGCACCACCGTGCCTGAATTTTAGTATTTTAGTAGAGGTGGGGTTTCACCATGTCAGCCAGGATGGGCTTGATCTGTTGACCTCGTGATCTGCCCGCCTGGATCTTCCAACGTGCTGGGATTACAGGCATGAGCCACCATGCCCGGCCCCTAATTGTATTGTTTTACAGAAAAACCTAAATGATCTGTGGTCATAGCAGCGGAGTTAAGAAGAGAACTTAGATTACCTGATGGGCTAATTTATTGCTCCACCTACAACTAGTGAACAGTGATAGCTTACCAAGCTGCCTTGGGTTTTCCAGGGGTTCCATTCTTGGAGAGACAGAGAAGAGGCCAAGCCAGAGACAGAAGCTGATATAAGCACTACATCGCTGACCACTGTATCCCCGGATTTTGTGTCCAAGACCATCATCTGGGTCACACAATGGCAATTACACTAGTCAACTTCCTTGGCTAAGTGAAACACCACTTATCTCTGTTTCATTTTGCAATCTCTCTGCCTCCATCTTTATATTTTCCATGTTGTATTAAAACCATTCATCCATTCAAAAAAGCAGTCACTGAGCATATATGATGAGCCAAACAGTGTTAGCCCCTGACCATATGGCAATGAACAAAGACCCTGACCTCAGGGAGTGCACATCCTAGCAAGGAGGACCCACATTAAGCAAGTGTCATCTTTAGAAGTACTTGTTTAATTAGAGTTGTGACCAGTGCCTTCAAGGAAAAGTGCAGTTGGTAATGAGTCCATATAGATGAGGATCTTAACTAGGATAAAAGGTCAGGGAAGGTTTCTTGGAGGATAGGAGCTGAAGAGTGAGTCAATGTTATTGCAGCAGAGAGAGGAGCAGGCCTAGAGTGTTTGAGACAGAAGACTCTGAGTTGGGGTTGGGGGGGTACATCTGAGGACTTAGAAAAAAGCCAGTTCGACTGTAACAATGAATATAAAAAGGAGAGTGGATGGAGCAGGATAGGCTGGAGAGGAAACCAGAGGCTGAGGTGTGAATTGACATGCTTGGTAGATCAAAAAAATACTAGAAGGGAGGGAAATCCTGAATACACTGAAAGATATTAAGTAGAAATGTGTCATAATCAGAGGTGCATTTTTGTAAGCTCACCTCCACAGCTTTGAGGAAAATAGTTTCCATGGGTAAAGCCCATTCCAGGAAGCCATGTGAATATTGATGTTAGTGACAAAATACTCCAAGAGTAGAATTAAGACTTGGTAATTCATTGCACATAAGAAGTGGTAATGAGGAGGAATCAAGGGTATATCCAGGTATGTCGTTTGAGCAACTAGATGGGTGTTGAAAGTATCTGCTGGAGAAAGAGAAGGTTTGGGGGGCAAACAGAAGCATGAGTTCACTTTTAATGCATCCAAGCTGAGGTGTTTGAAGGCTTCTAGATGAAGATGTCATGTGAATAGTTCAGAGGAGAAGTTTGCTCGAGATAGAATTTGAAAGTCACTGGAGTATAGGTGGCAACTAAAGCCATGAGAGTAGATGGGATTGCCTTGGTGGCTGAATGAGGTAAAAGAGAAACTAGGATCATGTGACACCATGAGAATCAAGGGGAAAGAGTATTTCAAAAGACAGAATAGTCAATTTGTAGAATGATTCTGAGAGGTGGCATGATATGAGGACTACAAGAGTACATTTGATTAAGTGGTATAAAAATAACTGGTGACTTTAGCAAGAGTTGATTCCATGGAGTGGCTGAAACAGAAGCTGAATTTGAGGGTTTATGGAGGGAATAGCGGCTAAAGATAGAAAAAGAGGCCGGGCGTGGTGGCTCAAGCCTGTAATCCCGGCACTTTGGGAGGCCGAGGCGGGTGGATCACGAGGTCAAGAGACCGAGACCATCCTGGTCAACATGGTGAAACCCCGTCTCTACTAAAAAAAAAAAAAAAATACAAAACATTAGCTGGGCATGGTGGTGCGTGCCTGTCATCCCAGCTACTCAGGAGGCTGAGGTAGAAGAATTGCCTGAACCCAGGAGGCGGAGGTTGCGGTGAGCCGAGATTGCGCCATTGCACTCCAGCCTGGGTAACATGAGTAAAAAAAAAAAAAGATAGAAAAAGAAACTATAGGCAACTCAGCCCAGAGAGTTGAGAACAGTGGGACAGACGCTAGTAGCTACAGAAGCATGTGGTTTGCAAAGGGTACCTTGTGGGGCAGAAGGAGATGTTTGGCTGGTTTGTTGAGACTTTTGTAGTAATGAGACAAATTGGAGCATGCGTAGGTGCTAATAGGAAGTAGAAAGGAAGAAATTGAAATAAAATCAGAAAGAGAAGAAATAATTAATATTCTTGAGAAAAACCTGAGGAGCTAGAGTGCAGAGCACATGCAAAATGGTTGGCCTTTGTTAGAAGACAAAAAACTTTTGACTATGTGAAGTCTCCATCTAATGGTTTCCATTTTTCCAGTGAAATGGAAAAATGCTGAGAATAAGAGAGTTGGAGACGTGAGAGGAATAGGATGGGTTTAAGAGAGATTTTGTAGAAACTAGGAGACCGGTCAGTTTTGAGATTCTAGTTGAGGTCACTGACCATTAATTTGCAGAAATACAAATCTGCTCCATTCTGTTTTTCTTCAGTTTTTTTTAGCAACCTGGGTGTAGACATAGAGAAGATAGACGGGTTCATCGGGGTGGAAATTGCTGGACAATTTGCAAGAGTTGAATTGAAGTAATGGATCTTAGAATCTATCAGTAATACAAAGAAAACAGAAGGTAGAAAAAGGTGTTAGATGAATGGATAGGCAAATGAATGAGAGATGAAAGGGCAGGTCAACTAGAAGCGCCTAGTGAAAGAAGAGTTATAATGGCATACGTAAGACAAGTGAAAAGAAAGGAAGATTGTGAGTGAGATACTGGATGTTTTTTGCACTGTTTGGTTGATGGAGTAGTTTCCAGTATGGACAGTGGTCACAGAAAGACAATAGATGGATGAGCAGAGTGGCTAATTCACTGGAGTGGTGAATAGTTTATTCAAGTAAATAGTAAAGTCACCTAAGTGGAGAGCGAGTGGGCAGCCCAGCAACACCCCATCAGCTAAGGAGGAGGTGTGACTTGGAAGCCCGGTGAAGGCTGCGCAGGAATGGAGCACAAGCTTCAAAACGCAGAGCTTTAACTAGAGGGTGAAGGCGTAGTGCCCTGAAAGTGGCAACACGGGGACACCGACCCCACTCTCAAGTCTGGAGCTACCTGGAGTGTAACGTGGTCCCTATTTGAGAGGCCAACAGATGAAGCCTTGTTCTCAGAGAACTGGCTGGACTCAGCTAACACAAAAAGATGGAAGGGCTCTCCCACCGAGAGTTCAAGAATCTAAAGGCAGGAAGACGTTTATCATAGAATGGCTGTTCCACTGTGCATGGTATGTGGGTTTGTCAAATGCAAACACACAGTGGCTTGGGTCATAGTCTCTCTGAGGAAGAGAAAATTTTTTTATATTTCTACTCCGAGAACCTAGAATACGGTGAGCCACCTTGACATACTAAACAAGTGTTTAACTCTTACTGAAAATTTGATTACTCATTCTTTTGCTGATTCTGCATTCTACTGTGACATTCTGAATACCAGTCATCATTATGCAAAAATATAGATGCAGATCCAAAAGCCTATAAGAGATCATTTGTACCTGTATTTTCATCCGTACACATCTGCTGATTAGATCTCTCTTAGGAGCTTGTCTTGGTATCATTTGCTTCTTTTTTTTCCTAAAAGTGAAGCAACAGGATATGCTCTGGTTAATATAGTGTTTTGGTTACTCAGGTTGCAGTTAATTCAAGTGGGTTACACATGGAGCTTCACTCTCACAATGCTAGGGAGGATCATGACATTTGATCTAGATGCCATCTGCCAGCTGAGGGATGGGGGAAAGAATAGTCACAAAATCACATGTAAACTTTTAAAAACTGCCTTAACATTATACAGAAAAAAATGCTATATGTCCAGTTAATTCACTGTCATTATGTAAAAAATATGCAGCTCTTTTTTCATTTCTCCTAGTAAATTTGAGCTCTATTAGCCTAATTTTTGCTTATAAACTTGATAAATGAAATTCCAGAGTCTGGCTCTAAAAATACAGATCTTCACATCATGCCAAGAAAGGAGCTTAAGGAATATCCTCCTCCTTTTCTACAGCTCTAGAGATGTGTTTTTGGTGCTGTGAATTACATTTAAAAACCTAATTTGATAAAGCATTAAATTGAGAACTTCCAGAGGATGTCAATCTGTTTTCCTGTGAAATATGGAAGTTTATGTGACTATTCATAACCCTTTGTCCTATTCCATATATATATCAGATCTTGGAAGGGCTATTTGAACAAAAAGGTCTTATAAGATTATGAAGATTCTAGACACAAAGATAGCCTCCAAAGGAACCCTGTAATTTTGATAGGTTCTCTTAGTTGATCATTTTTATTCTAGTAAGAATGATGTAATTGAAAACTTTGTGTAATTAACTATATAAATCTTTGTAAGAGTTTTAAGTAAAATCAGATAAGGCTCATAGCATGTTTCTTTTCTCCACCCTGCTTGACAGAATAATTGAAATCTTATAAGTGTACAAACTTTCCTATTTAGAAAAGTGATCGGCGTTGGGTGCAGTGGGTCACACCTGTAATCCCAGCACTTTGGAAGGTCAAGGTGGGCAGATCATGAGGTCAGGAGTTCGAGACCAGCCTGGCCAAGATGGTGAAACCCATCTCTACTAAAAATACAAAAATTAGCTGGGCATGGTGGTGCATACCTCTAATTCCAGCTACTAGGGAGGCTGAGGCAGGAGAATTGCTTGAACCCGGGAGGTGGAGGTTGCAGTGAGCAGAGATCACACCACTGCACTCTAGCCTGGGTGACAGAGCAAGACTGTCTCAAAAGAAAATGATCAGTAATGATATAGTAGCAAGTGTTGAATTTAAACTCCTGCTGAAACAATAAAGCTGGAAAAATATACGGAAGAATTATTCTTAGGCACTGGATGTCAATCATTGCAGAACTATGATCCTTGAGGGAAAGGAAGCAAAGTAGTTAAACCCCACATTCATCCTGGGTTTTTCCATGAAGACGTTTTTCAATCTGCTATCCAGGAAAAAGGAGTCCAAGGAGAGACAGGAAGAAACAGAGGTAGGAGTTAGGAGATGCTAAGACTGCAGGAATCTGGAAGCGTGGAGGGAGAGTAACAGACAGTAGGGAGCCACTTAGAACACATACAGTCATGTGTTGCTTAATCACAGGGATAAATTCTGAGAAATGAGTCATTAGGTAATGTTTTCATTATACAAACATCATAGATGGTTTAGCTTACTATACACCTAGACTATGTGGTATAGCCTATTGCCCCAGGCTACAAACCTGTATAGCATGTTACTGTACTGAATACTGTAGGCAACTGTAACACAACAGTAATTTACGTATTTGCATACTGAAACATATCTAAAATAGAAAAGGAACAGTCAAATGCAGTATAAAAGATTTTAAATGGTATAGCTATATAGGGCACTTATCATGAATGGAGCTTACAGACCCAAAAGTTGCTCTCGGTGAATCAGCAAATGAGTGGTGAGTAAATGTGAAGGGCTAGGACATTACAGAATACTACTGTAGACTTTATAAAGGCTGTACACTTAGGCCACACTGGAATTATTTTTTTTTATTTTTTCTTTCTTCAAAAACAATGTTAGCTTACTATAACTTTTCACTTTATGCACTCACATTTTCTTAACTTTTTGACTCTTTTTTAATAACACTTAGCTTAAACACATTCTATAGCTGTAGAAAAGTATTTTCTCTTCATATTCTTATTCTATAAGCTTTTTTCTAGTTTTAAAATTTTTATTTTTTACTTTTTAAACATTTTTGTTAAAAACTAAGACACAAACACACACATTAGCCTAGGCCTACAGAGGGTCAAGATTGTCAATATCACTGTCTTCTACCTCCACCTCTCATCCCACTGGAAGTTCTTCAGGGACAACAGTGGAGCTGTCATCTCCTATGACAACAGTGTCTTCTTCGGGAACACCTCCTGAAGAACCTGCTTGAGGCTGTTTTACAGCTACCTTTTTTTAATACAAGTAGAAGGAGCACAATCTTTAGAAAAGGTAACACCCCAATAGCAAGGAATACACCTGATATGGCTTGGCTCTGTGTCCCCACCAAATCTCATGTTAAAATGCAATCTCCAGTGTTGGAGGTGGGGCCTGGTGGGAGGTGATTTGATCATGGTTTCTCATGAATGGTTTAGCACCATCCCCCTTGGTACTATCCTCACCATAGTGAGTGAGTTCTCCTGATATCTGGTGGCTTAAAAATGTGCAGCACCTCCTCCCTCCCTCCCTCCCTCTCTGTGTCTCTCTCTCTGTCTCTCTCTCTCCTCCCCCCTTTTCTGTTTTCACCATCTGAAATGTCTAACTTCCCCTTTGCCTTCTTCGATGATTGGAAGTTTCCTGAGGCCTCCCCAGAAGCAGAAGTTGCTATGCTTCCTGTACAGCCTACAAAATCATGAACCAACTAAACTTCTTTCTTTATAAATTACCCAGTGTCAGATATTTCTTTATAACAATGCAAGAATGAACTGATACAACAAGTAATACCCAAATTTTGTTTTTTAACTCCTTCAGTATCCTAGGCTAGACTGGTAAAGTGTCCGATAAAAGGAACCATGGCTCACGGAGGTGATTGATTTCGGGCTGAGTCAGAGAAAATACGAGTTAATCCTGGAACAAATTGTGATGTCAGAAAATGCTCAAAGAGGATAACAACATGTGAAAAGGGCATAGGAGCTAATCTGAAAGAGCTCCTACCAAAGTTATTTGAGCAAGAAGGTAAATAAAAATAGTATTGAATTATAAACCAAGGAATAAAATAAATATTGTTGGGCTTATACTGATATAAATGATAACTGAATAAATAAATGGAGTAGAAGAGATAATCTTCCTTAAAGAATCATTCCAATTAATAAATGTAGAAACAATAAGGGAAACAGAAAAGCACTATTAGAATACCACAATAATTTCTACAAGCATCATTGACTAATGGATGCTAAAATTAGTAAGTGAAAGTGTAAGGAGAAACACAGTATTTGCGTCATCTGAAAATATCCCTCCCAAAGAAATATCTACTAATTAAAAAGAAAACAATAATCACTTTAAAGTGGAGAAATCTGAAAAGCACCATCTTAGCCAAATGATCAAAGTTAGCATCACCACTAATAAGACAGGTCATTCCCCTTTATTCTCTGATATGTTACACATCATCTCCATGTAATTCTTTTCAATAATATATAACTTCAACCTAATCATGAGAAGACATCAGAAAAATTCAAATCGAAGGACACTATACATAACCAACCAATGCTTTTCAAAAGTCTCAAGGTCATGAAAGACACAGAAAAACTGAAGAACTGTCACAGTTTAGGGAAAACTGAAGAGACCTGATAACCAAATGCAATGCAGGATCCTGGATTAGTGCCTGACAGAAAAAGGACATTAGCGGTAAAACTTGTAAAATGTGAATAGAGTCTATAGTTAATTAATAATGTATCAGTGTTAATTTATTAGTTTTATTAGTTGTGCTACACAGTTATGGAAGATGTTAACATTAAAGGAAGCCATGTAAAGGGCATGCTGTATTCGCAACGTGGGTAATATCACCTCCAAGAGATGAAAACTGGATCTTGAGGGGGGTAAAAAAAAAAAAACCTTAATCTTTTTATTTTGTTTTATTTTTATTTGTTTATTTGAGATGGAGTCTCACTCTGTTACCCAGGAGCGATCTTGGCTCACTGCAACCTCCGTCTCCTGGGTTCGACTGATTCTCCTGCCTCAGCCTCCGAATAGCTGGGACTACAGGTGTGTGCCACTACACCTGGCTAATTTTTTGGATTTTTTTTTAAATCTCAGACCTATGTGAGAATTCTCACTTTTTTATGTGCAAAGCACACATATATACAATACATAGACATACTGAACATCTGTAGTATTAAAATTTCATGGAGAGAGAGAAGCAGTTAGGGAAAAATGACTTCTTAGGGGGATGTTGTGTATACTTTAGGTGTCCCATGTATGGTCACATGCCACATAACCACATTTCAGTCAAAGAGGGATCATTTAAACAACGGCAGTCCCAGGAGATTATAATATTGTATTTTTACTGTATCTTCTCTATATTTAGACATACAAATATTTACCATTGTATTAAGTAGCCTGTACCATCTAGGTTCGTGTAAGTACACTATATGATGTTCACACGATGACTAAATTGTCTAATGTCTCATTTCTGAGAATGTATCCTCGTTGTTAACCAATACATCACTGTAATTCGAATCTGTTTCATTTAAGTTAATGCCATCCACATGTTTTTATTACAATAGCTTACATAAACCATCAAGTGTCAGTGAGTGGAGTAGGAACTCTCAATTCCCTTGTTTGGAGCATTCAGAAAACCAGCCAAGTGAAGAAAAACAGAGCTAAAAAACATACGTAGCTCCTGTCTCTCTGTGTTTCAGCCATAATCAATTGTCTCAATGCGTTGTGGTTCCTTCTACCTTGGACATTTGCTAATAATATTTCTTTTTCCAGAAACACTCTCCCCAGCTCACTTTACTTGTGTAACAACTACCCAAGAACAGAACATTTCAAGTCAAATATGCCTTCCTCCGTGAAAACGTTCGTAGCCACTTAGTCCGGATTAACTATCAAGCACCCTTATTATACAA